ACCTGAAATATTAGTGTTGCTGCCAGAGAAGGCTAGGATCCCAACTCAAAATGCCAAGGAACTGAAATACTATTCAAACTGCCTAAAAATTCACCTTTATAGCTATCGGAATAATTGAAAAAAAACTCACCAGAACCCCTGCGACGTTAGAGCCAGAAGAATGTCTAGAGAGAGAAGAGGTTACACACGGCGCGATATTGAGGAGACCGCTCGAGGCCGTAGCAATCACACCTGATTCAGATATGGCTTGAATTTGCTGATGATGCAGGTGTTGTTGGTGCTGTTGCTGAGAGTGAAGTTGATGCGTTGTATGACTTTGGTGAAGCAACTGTTGTTGGTGCTGTTGCTGTATCTGATGCTGGTGTGGATGGTGCATGTGGTGGCCAGATGATTGGGCGGCATGCAACGGTCTGGTGCTATGTGCTGGTGAAAAGCCCAAGTGACTTAACTGGGCTTGTGTATGCATCTGCATATGTTGTTGTTGTTGAGCTGTATGAAGCTGGGTATGAGCTTGTGTGTGCGAATGTAAACCAGTCGTAGAACGGAGTCCCGGTCCACTATTAGCTGTCGATACTCCACCAGGAACGCCGACAGAGGTCAGGTGGAGTCCAGCTCCGGGTCCGATCGTTCGCAGATCGGTTTGACTGGGTAAAAGGCCGGTAGATCGAGCGAGTGGAGAGGCGGCGGAAATCGAAGACGAGGAAAGATTGGATGCCACAATCGGTGCGGTAGATCCAGATACCCCTATTAGTCCATTAGGCATAACAGGAGCTATTGAGACAGGAAGTCTCCCAGAAAGACCAGAGTGACCGGTCTCGATTGAAGACTGATTTTGTTGGGCTTGCTGCTGTCGGCGAATTGTTGACTGGCAAAACGCCGTTTGCCCTACAAAAGTCGTGTTGGATGCTGCTACGGCAGCCGCTGCAGCCGATGCCATAGCAGCAGCAGCTGCCTGAGCAGCGCAAATAGCCTCAGCACGTTGGCGCGCTTCGCGCTCTTCTTTGTTTTTTATCACAATCGCTGGCGTAACCAAGGTATCCGGATTTATGTTGTGCTCCTGGTGGTCAAACATATATAGATAAAAGACATTTGAGTAATAACTAATATTAGTGAGGTACTCGTGAACGGAATGTATAGTTTATATATATTAGCCAACAATTAAATATTTAAAAAGGTGCGACAGTAATAAAGTACAAACTTATGTGTATACTCAGTATGCATTGAAAATATATTTCGCGTTACACTCTCAGAAAATGTATTCAGGTCTTATTCAAGCGCAAGATCTCTAACCAGAATCCTCTTTGGCAATGCATTACGAATTGTCAGTGAGGATCATATAATTAAAGTAACAAACATAAATAATACAAACGAATAGGCTCGTTGAAGTCAAATATAGGCAAATGACTATTTTATCTACTAAATGAAAAAGTGATGACTGAGAATTTTAAAAAATAAGTAGATTATAGGATCAGAGCTCGTAACATGGAGTGACGAAGGAATATATAAATCATAATAGTTTTTCAGCTACATAAAAATGGCTCACCTGAAGAGCAGCAATGTGCATCGGATTTTTTTGTATCATCGGTCCGGCGGCGGTAACGCCTCCAATAACAGGGCCTGAGCAGGAAGGCGGGATGACCACGACTGAATTACCAATCGCGCCAGAAGAAGCTAGATTCGCAGTGGCGCCAGCAGGTGTTGTTGGCGTTAGTCCGGTTGCACTAGTACAAACAAAATTACTATTATTTCCTCCACAGAGGTCTGAGCCAACGGCTGATACAGCTACAGAACTTCCGCCGTTGCTCAAGCAGCCGGAGGGTGTCAATGAAGATACAGGGCCACCTGCAGCTCCAGAACTTGGACCTCCAGAGATAGTGTTTGCCGTGGAAACGGGGTTGGGCATTAGCCGAGTATGTGAAAGCATGGCGGCTGTCGTGCCCACTACTCCTGTACCACTCACAGGCGCTCGGCGTGTACCTTGCATCCCAGGGGTACCAGAAGCTCCAACAACGGTAGATGCAGATATCCTACCTGAGGAGCTCGAGGAGCTGACTCCGACACCTCCTGTGCCACCTACGGCAGAAAGTGCACTGCTACTGCTGTTGGCTCCTGCCAAGACGGAGGTAGCACTAGTGGTCAATCCACCAATCCCAGCTAAGTTGGTTCCTGCATTAGATACGCTTCCAGATAAGGAAGGAGAGTTGCTTCCTGTAAAAGCAAGACCTGATCCAAAGCCAGCTAAACCTGAACAAATCTGGAGCTGGAAAAGTGAGTCGCGTACGGCTCGTCGAACAAGTCCAGCTTGTTGGTTTGTAGCATTCGAAACGCTTGAGACGAGACCAGCCAAGTAATAAGGCATATCAGGTAGTGAGGAGAGCTCATATGATGAGTCAGAATTGTTAGGGCGACGATTACCAATAGCTAGGAGGTGCTTTAAAGTAAATAAGATTAAATAAACAAAATAAACTGGTTGCTAATATAATGAATGAGTTAAGGCAAAATTCGATTCATCAATCCTCGACGAACTAAAGAAAAACAAGTTAAAGGCAAGGTATAGAATTAAATGAGGTTTTTGAGAAAGCCCAAATAAGCATTTTTTGAAGCAAGTTATGATAAGGGATTTAGATTCCCTAGCTAAATTAGCAAATTGGTCCTGTTTGGATCCGCCAGGTATAGAACCAGAGTGGACAGTGCAAGTTGCATAGCAAAAGTACTGTATAGTTTCAATAAAAATGAATTATATACAAGTGGTGACAAAAATCATTCAGTGGTAATACGAAAGGAGTGAAGCGAAGCGAATTTATGCCTCCGCCTAAAGCAGCATCATATTTAAGCTTTTACGAGTCAGATTCCAGAAACCAAGAGAGCCGCGCGTACGCAACACCGGAGAGACGAACTTCAACAACTTTAGTTATTATCGGAACCCACACATAACCTGAATATGTTGAGGCCATCACTTGGGTCATCCAAGGCGCATTTATCATGCAATATAAGCCCTCACGCTTCTTCCATCTCATCCCCGGAGCGTGCCAAAAACCTTGATAACTTACTGAAAACCAAAGAATCTCATCGACACTTCCAATCGTTCACATGTTTTATCCGTACATATTGTGGTTGTTGCTATAAAACCTATTTTTTATCCTTTTCCTCAGTCGTATATCTTACTAACTTAAGTTATT